GGAGGGGGTCCTCCAATTCATCTGTAGCAAAGGGACAACCGGTAAAAACAGGCAGGAAGCTTCCAAGCCGTCTCCTACTCATGTAGGCCCTGAAGAACCCAGTTTTATTCTGCTTTTTGGTTAAGGGTGAAGCTAAGGTACACAGAGTTCAGCAGACAAACCTGCTGCCCCAGTGAGCAGTGGCTGCTGGACTTAGCCTTTAGGGGAGCAATAAAGAGCTTCTGCCTCGCTCTAATTGGGGAGAAGCTGGCCCTGGCTGACCCTGGGCCTCCTGTGGCAAAGGTGCTGGGGTTCTGCACAGTTAGTTAACAAGCTGGAATGCATAGGCATGAAGGCTCCCTCTGATGTTGCTTCCTTGCCCCGCCCATCATGGCTCCTTTGCTACCCTTGGCTGGGTCTGGATCTGACCAGATCTTTTTAAGATAGGGCTCACTTTCTATCTCTGGCTGACCTCCAACTCACAGAGATCCGCCTTCCTCTGCCTCCTGAGTGCTGGGATTAAAGCCCAGTATGCCCATCCTGATTGAATATGTGTGTGTTAGTGTCCTCCCACTAAATGCCAGGCTTCCCAGGTCTCTGGTGAGAACTGGAGTGAGAGAGGCTGTAGCCATCCACATCTGGGGCATAAATCCCATCTCCTAGACCACTAGATATGTAGGTTTGGACTTGCTTCTTAAAAAGAGGATAGCATTCCTTCCCATGTCTCGCCCTTTGGGGGAAGAAGTATGGGAACTTCTTCTTGGAGAACAGAAGCTGAGTTAGATGAAAAACAGGTGCTCCCAGGGCAAGGAAGGCCCATGGGTGATCTTGGATATTCTTCCCCTCTCTGGGGCCCCAAGGTTACAGTTGTAAGATTGACCCAATGAAGGCTTCCCAGGCCACTACCGCCTGCACCCAGGCGAATTAGCTTTACCCACAGCACTGATGCCATTCACTGAGTCCTCAACTCCTGTTAATAATGTCAAGTTTCAGAAGACTGGAAACATCATACCACCACTCATTTGCTGGTAAAGGCAGCTCTGGCCAGCTGTTGATGGCCTTTGTGTTTCCAGTGTATTCAGTGACGGGTGCAGTCAAGGGCTGCTGTCCTGTGCCCACTGCATGCCCCGGATAGTGGTATGTATAAATGGTCCACCGTACTGAAACCTGAACCATCCTGGGTCTAAAATACCTCCGGGCCCCAGGGGTCTGCATTCCACGGAGGAACCACAGGTATTCCATCTCGTCTGTGTAATACCTCGTCTTTCCAAGCTTGAACACACAGCAGACCCTCACGTAAGGCAACGGGGCCTGAGAAATCAGGGTAAATGGAAAAGGATCACTGAGCTGGTAACGCTGATCGTATTTGTCCTTATGTCACTGAAGTCCCAGACTGCCACATAAACCACCTGGAGAGGAGTACAGGGTTCATGGGTACCAAAAAAGCTGATACCCTTTCTCTGTTAGCAGTCTCCATGGGAACGTCCTATAACTGGGAGATAGGAATGCATCAGTGGCCTTGCTCCTTCCCAAAGAGGCAACAAGGGCAGTGGGGTCCCAGGGAGAATTGGCATAGAGATTCCCAGCCCTATCTCTCAGGCAGAGATCACTCTCAGTTTTACTTCAGGGGTGGCTCAGTCCTGGCAGAACTGACATACGTGCTCAGGCATGCAGAGGAATAGGGGTGCGGCACTTCTACCTGAAGATGGTAGGGGACGGCAGTGGGATCATGCCCAGACAACTCAGGAAGGGATCCTTCCCTGTGCTGCACCCCAAAAGCCTTAATGTTCTCACCTTGCACCCACAGCTGAAGAAGATGAAGGAGAAGAAGGGTTTGTACCCGGACAAGAGCATCTACACTCAGCAGATAGGCCCTGGTCTCTGCTTTGGGGCCCTGGCCCTGATGCTTCGCTTCTTCTTTGAGGTACCAGGCCTGTGGGGAGGGGATGGAACCCTCCAAGAGCCCTCTGGAAATGTCTCAGCTTAGCAGAAGATTGGCTGGCTTTACAGGGAGGCTCCCAGTCATGCATTCTGTTGTGGTGGGAATTGAAGTTGGTACTCCCCATCTCCAGTGTGCCAGTATCATAGCCTGCGTGGACCTGAGGGTCCCAGGGAGTCAAATCAGGCCCTGACTTCAGGACGTTTACATGTCCTAGAAGATTCAACATGCATGTCCTGGAAGAGACCAGGGGCTGATGCCTGAAACCAGGGGACAGGGGACAGAGGGAGGCAGAGAACCTTTCGGCCATCTTCTCAGGGTGGGACAACTGACCCCTCGAGGCACCAGATGGCTAGCAGAGCTTAGTTGAGGGATGGGGCCAAGGCTCCAGACTGACTCGCTCTCCTCCACAGGAATGGGATTACACCTATGTCCACAGCTTCTACCACTGTGCCCTGGCCATGTCCTTCGTCCTGCTGCTGCCCAAGGTCAACAAGAAGGCTGGGAATGCGGGGGACCCCGCGAAGCTGACCTTCTCCACCCTCTGCTGCACTTGTGTCTGACCACAGCCCTGTTCTGGTCCTGACTTTCTGTCTAGCAGCCCCACCATCTCTCTCAAGATACTTCCTACTCTTTCCCATGTGGTGTGTCAATGAGAAATGGTCTCTTCTGCACCCCCAAGAGACCAACAGTCTTGCTACACTCTGCTGAACGCTGCTTAGGGACCCATGGACTCCTTGTTCACCAATTGCTTCATTCCGTTGCAGGAAAAAAAAAAGGGAATTTTCTCCTCCAAGACCTCATAAGCATAGGTACATCTGGCAGAGCTCTAGGTCAGTAGATACTGGTCACAGTCCCAGCCCAGCAGCATATACAACAGGGGTTATCTTGTCCCCAAATCCTGCCCGCCTGGATTGTCTGTTTTCTCTAGAAAACTGGTATTGCCACTTCTACCCCTTGCCCAGGTTCTGAAACCTTTCCCCACCTTTTAGGAAGCTGGAGCCAGTTAAACCAGCTTCGGCCTGGACCCAAGCTTTAGCCAGGTCTTAGATCAAGTCACTCAGAGTAAACTCCTAACGGCCTCCAAGAATATCTTACATACATCGGTTCCTAGAACGAGTCTGTACGCTAAGTGTTACAGTTCCGGTCTTGGGGTAGTGCCTGTCAGGGTCAGCAGCTGCCCTAAGGGCAGGTGCTGGTAGACACAGAGCTAAGTCTGCTGCTGGCCTGGGTACCTGGGTTGGAGGCGGGGTACACTGTTGGTGTTCAGTTTATTTTACACTGTCCTGAAGCTTACTCTGGGGCCCTGAAGGAAAGGCGGGTGCAGGCGATACCCCTGGGCCAGGACTTGCTGGAACTGTACCTTACTGTGGGCAGTCCTGTCTGTGACAGACTGGGGACCAGGGCATGGCAGGGCATGAAAGGGCATGGCAGCCACCACAACAGCTTTCAGACATCACCTCACAAGCCTGCATCTCCCCAGCACCCCCAGTCATCCCCTTTCCTGATGACCCAAGGCCCAGCAGGAAGTTACCTACACCTGTCTGGGACTTATTAATGTCTCCAGATGGTGCCACTTCAAGGGAGCAGCTACCCACATCCGGTCCCCACCCACTAGGTCCTGGCAATCTCTCCTAAGTCACCTCCTGTACCTCCTAAGGAAGCCAGCTCCACCACTTGGTTTGAATGTTCCTCTCTTCCCAGCTGACCCCTCAGCCTAGCCTTCTGAATGCCTACCTTCACGAACACCCACAACTCCATGTTTCTCTGCCATCTCTACCTGTCCCTTCCCTACCACCGTCCCCTCCAAGCCCTGGTGGTAGACAGAGGTTACCCATAGGCCTCACCTCTTCTCTGGCCCCAGAGACTTTTAATGATAGAACAGCCTATGATGCCATGAGGCACCTCAGAAAGTTCAAACCTGGCTCCTAGGGACTAGGATAGGTTTATCAGGTAAGGAAGACACGGCACATAGTCTGGGCTCTGAGGCTCCTAAGAAAAGAGTAGAGAGCTGGAGAGATGGCTCAGTGGTTAAGAGCACTTGTTGCCCTTCCAGAGGACCCAAGTTCAATTCCAAGCCCCCACTCAGCATCTCACAACTGTCTGTAAATCCAGAGCTAGAGGATATGATCACGATAAGATCCCTCTTCTGGCCTCCAAAAGACCAGGCACACATGTGGTACAAGTATTTACTTGGAAGCAAACGCCCACACACAAAAAAGCAAAAATACCTAAATATAAAAACCAAATAAAATAAAACTCAGAGGGGGTAGACCAGGAACAGAGTAGGGAGAAGGCACTGAGATATGGAGGCCTCGCTCACCTGGCTGCTAAGCCCTCATCTGGTCCCCAGTCACACACAGGCTCATACCTCACAGACAGATGTAAACACACACCTGCACGTGACATATACCTATGTACCTTAAACACGTATCACATGAGCTCACACACCAGAGACACAGGGTGTCCTAGAGCCCAGGCTTCCTTTGGGTCACCTCTTACTTCCATAGGACAAACAGCTGAGTCAGAGCTGTTCACCCCAGTGAGAGGCAGAGATGAAACAAGCCAGGTGAGGTGTCTTGGGCCCCTCCAGAAGCAGGTGCCTGCAGGGTGTACCCAGCCCATCACGTCTCTGTCTTACCCCAGCCCCAAACCAGCAACCCTGCCTCCAGCTCTGCCGCCACTCTTGGGAAGCTGGAGGCAACAAGATGTCCTTGAGCAGGGAGGGGCCACGAGTGGCCCAGCCAAAGGGCCATACTGACGGGCTCTCCCCGGTGGTGCTGCTGATTTATGAGAGCCTTCTGGGCACCTGGCCAAGGCTGTAAGTCACGGAAGATTAGGAGGCGCACTCCAGCCCTCAGCCCAGCCACTGCAGCCTGTGCCTGGCTTCTTAGGGCTCCAGAATGGACCCTTACCCTCCAAGCATCTCAGATCCCATGCCTGCTTGTGGGGGCCCTGGGCACAGTCCTAAGCCCAGTTTGCTGATGAGAATACTTAGGACCACAGATGCTAGTAACACGACAGTGGCTGCAGACCTAGCAATGGCACCCAGGGCTTTCCTTAGGCACTCCATTTGTGGCCTCTTTCAAGGTCTACATTGACATCTTTGGACGCTAATCAAGGTCAGGAGGGGAATATGGGAGGAAATAGGAGCCACTGTGCCCCCCCAATGGCTACTGGCACTTCAAAACTAGCAAGAAAGGACCAGCTCTTAGATCCCAGTGACTCTGAACCCTGCTGCTGTCCAGCCCAGTGTCTCTATCCCTGGAATTTGGGAGTTATAGCATGTGAAGCCAAAGAGGGCTCCCAAGGTTATCCAGCTACTTAGGACTCTAGACAGAACATCCTCTCCTATCTCGCGTGATGGGGAGACCCAAAAGCATGCATCCTGATATCCCTGTCTACAGAGTGCTTAGGAAAACCACTATGGGTACTCCTAGGAGTTGAAGAACCACACTGCCTGAGGAAACCTGATGCTGCATGGATATAGGGTCTCCTCGTAGGACAGCTGATCGTGCGCACAGGGGTTGTTGGTAAACTGAGTCAGAACTGCAAGTAGCAGCAGTCACTAACAGGACTGCAGAGACCAGGGGGTGCATCTGAACTCCAAGTCCGTGGTACAGAATTAGACCTCCCCTCCCCACACACAGAGAGAGGGGGAGGAGATAGTGTGTCAAGGACACGATAGAGGACCCTCTGCCTCAGTGATGGTGGAGGTGAAATGGACACAACGCACAAACTGAACGGGCCAAGTTCTAATGGGGGTGTTCAGATGGAGGAGATGGGGAGGCCGCTCTGAGAGACATCAAGCCAGCCCCTGACAAAGACAGAGCTTTTGTGTATGTGCAGGGGTGAGCTAACGTGGACAAGGGGCAGACCCTGGCGGGCTGTGAGGAAGAAACTCCAGCTCAAATGGGGAGCTGTAGTCGTGGCTGCTGAGGAAAGTGTAGCGTGGACACCCTGTGCTCTCAGTGGGTAGCCTTCCCCCCCCCCCCGCCCCGACCCGAGCTAAAGCCTTAGCCCTCCCTGCTCTCGGTTCCTGTGCATGTCCCTGTCTCCGGCACATTTGCCAAAGACATACTTCAATTCAAAATCAGACATGGTCCTTTCAAGCTCAGCTTGAACCTAGTGTCCTGTGCTGTCCCCCACCCCCACCCCCCAACACACCCACAGCCACAGCCCTGTTTCTAAGTTCCCTGGATGTTCAGATTTGAGAAATCCCAAGTTAAGACAAGGGGCAGAAACAAAGAGGCTGGGACTCCCAGATCTGGCTGGGGCTTCCCTGACAGGATATGGGTGGGAGGGTGGGGCCCTCCTCCTAGTCTGTCACATCTAAATCTGGGAAGATGAGTGGGCGCAGGCCCATCACAGTCATCCTGGGCCTGGGCATGACCACAGTCATCTCAGTGTCCAGGGCAAAGGCATCTTGGCCTTGGTCCCACAATAAGTGTGCACACATACCCTCCTGGCACACCCTGTTGGGGCCCCACTCAGGGTGAGAGTGTGCCCTACCTTGGACAGCAAGGCAAATGGAGAGGGATAGTGTAAACATTTACAGCTAGGTAGACACAACAGTCCATTGTGGCAGCAGCCTGGCTTCCCCCAGCAGGGGAGAGGCTGTTGGGGAGCAGGAGAGCGCCTGGGCAGCCGCCAGGACCTGCGCGCAGAGGTGTTTTTGTCTGAGGCCGTCTGCGCGCTGCCGCCTGCCTCTGTTGGTCTGCTACTGAAATTTCCTGTCTCTGTTATTCTCTTCTTCAGGAAGAGATCTGAAACCCAAAACTTTTATTGCTCCTTTAAAAGGGCTTTACAGCTCCCCACCCGCTTCCCAGACTTGTCCTGCTTGAAGAGCTGGGATTGTAGTTGGGGCAGCATGCTGGGCACTGGGTCTCTGTGGGCAGGCCAACCACAGGGTCTTGGCTGAGGAGGAACAGAAAGAAAGAAGGAGGGGGAGCTGGGGAGCTAGAGTGGTCCAGGACAGATGGAACGGGCTAGCTGTTCCGCGTGTCCATCCTGCTGGCTGATGAGCTGGTTAAGCAGAAGCATGGGGACCCAGGACCATGGACCCTAACACTTTAGCTGACCTCCGCCCCCTTTTGTACGTCTGCAAACTGTTTGTTTACCTTTAAAAACAGGATCAGCAGCCTCAGCCTGCCGTCCCTTGGAGAGAGTTAAGTCAGAACCAAGCCGATTTGGAAAAGGGTTAGGAAATTAAAATCAGAAAGAAGAGAGCTGGGCGGGTGGACGTAGGATGTAGACCGATCCAGGCAGGTCAGGTTCCAGCCTTCTCGCTACCACCTCAGGCAGATGTCATGGGTCCTCTTAGCCTCGGTTTGCCCCTTTAAACAGAATCTGACATTTAAATCTTCTCAAGATTAGATGAAGCAGATAGGGGCTGGGAAAGAGTTTAGTGGGCTCAGGTGTGGTAGCTTTGCATTTTTAGATATTTTTATTTAGTGTGTGTGTGTGTGTGTGTGAGAGAGAGAGAGAGAGAGAGAGAGAGAGAGAGAGAGAGAGAGAGAGAGGAGTTTGATAGGCCAGCATGTAGGTGCACACACGCCAGAGC